TAAAATTTTCAGCCACGCATACAAATTGCTTATATCAGAGACTGAAAATAACATAATAGGACCAAGTCATTCTCATGACTTGTATGGCTGCATTAAGAGGACATTTACAAAATTTGCAGATGACACAAACCAGGCAAGCTGATTAATGCTCTAGATGGAGAAGATCTCAAAGCATCCAGGCAAGCTGAAGCAGTGAGTGAAATTAATACAATTATATTTAACTGGGGGGAAAAAAAGTAAAGTTCTACTTCTAGGTTGGAAAAATATTCATCAAGAATGAAGTTCTGGTTTGGCAATAGTACATGTGAACGGGATTTTGCTGTACTTATTGTATGTAAATTAAATGTAAGCAAGCAGTGTAGTGCAGTAAGAAAAAGGAAAGTAAAAAGGGGAGTGTGGCATTAACAGAAGCCAGATCATAGCAAGTAATTGTTCCAGTCTACATAAATCAGATCCCATTTGGGATACAGTGTCCAATTCTGGGCACCACTCTTCAAAAAGGACAGTTGGAGGGTTACCAGGAGGGTGAATGGTCTGAGAAACAAGTCCTATATGAAAACAGTTAAAGGAAATGGGTAGGTTCAGCCAACATAAACTGAAGGGAAGTATGACAGAGGTCTTCATATATGTGTGGGGTTATCACCCAGAAGAAAGAGACTCACTCATCCCAAAGGGCGGGACCATCACCAAAAGTTAAAATTTCAAGGAGTAAGACTAGCGATCAGAAAGCATTTCTTGACTACACAAGCTGTCGATCATAGTTATCAGCTGCCAAATGAAGTGGTGTGTTCTTTACTATGAACTTTCAAACATGGTCATTTGTCAAAGATGCTCTGGTCTGGTGAACCCTGCACAGAGCAGGAGTTGGACTTGATGTGTCTAAAGTACATTCTAACTCTACAGTTCTATGATTCACCTATCACTCCATGCGCCAGTCCACTCGACCTGACCCCAGGGATTCCTTATGCGAATGAGCTCTTCTTGACGGCCACGATACTCCACCTGCCAAATTTGAGACATTAGGCTATGTACATAAGTAATTAAATCCTTGAATTGATATTTGTAAATATCACAGAGAGAAACTTACCCCTTTAAATCCTGTGACCGAGTAGGCGTGACCCTTCACTAGTTTCTTAAAAGTAACTGCTTCCATGTCAAATGCACTTGTAATCTGAGAAAAAGGATATACCACATTGTGTAATAATTTAGGTGTCCTGACCCCTCCATCTAGAATCAGATGGCATGAGATTAAAGACACAGAACCAGCAGGAGTGATAAAACTTCTCAATCAGAGAGACAACAGTCTGTACAAGAAAAATATACCCCCAAGAGGAACCAAGATTCCAAAGCGATGCATTTACTTAAGTAATGGCTAACTTTAGAATAGACTTTTATAGCAGGGCATAGGGAATGGCCTTGAAGGGTGAGGAAGAATTGCTACTAGATAAGTGGGATTTGAGCTCAGACCAAGAAAACAACTTAATGCAAAGTCTCAGACATGCTCCTCCCTAGTTCACAAAAAGATAAAATGAAGCAGGGGGTAGCAGATCCAATTATGGTCTCATTTCTTGTATATTATATTTATGTATTATCTTGTTTTTTCATGTTCGAAGTGATATTCTTTTCTTAAAGAAACAAAAGCTGAAAGCTTGGAATGAGCAATGAACAATGACTTTCAGAAAACTCTTATTTGACATTCCCAACCAAAGTTTCATGGAAAAGGAGCTTTGTAATCTAACATTTGTTCTGCCCCATTACACACAACATAGGCTCATTCAATTGTTCAACTCCGATAAATCTACACTTACTAAATCCGATATTCTGCTTACTTCTGGCCTCCTAATGGGTGTCTAAAAATCAGAAGCAAATAAAGGAAGAACTCCAAGACTTTTAAAATTCTCAAACTCAAGCATTTCATAAACCCTCTCGGAAGCCTATCTTACATCAATAGAACAGCCAAGCAGAGATCCTCTCTCAAGGGCCTTGGAAATGATTTTGGATAAATTGCGTGGTGGTTTTTTGAGATCATACATTTCTGCCACACCACCTGTGAAATCTTCAAAGCCTTCGGTTGTGCTGCCCCCTGACAGGGCTTCATAAGAGCCATTCAACCTGTGTAGCAAACAAAACTCAGAATTAGAAGGATACCTACAAACCTTGCCAGCGGTCTCCACTTATATAGAAGGTGGGAACTATAATAACAGAGAAACAAATCCAAAGTAGAGTTTGCTTGAGAAAGCAGGCATCCACCCCTACGTTAGCCATCTAATGACCTAAACACCAGCAACACTTACTTGGCATAAGCTTTTTCCAGCAGAGCACTCCAAAATTCTTGACACTCAGCTGAGTGCACAAACACAAGTTCTTCATCCTTGGTTGGTAATCTGTCATCTATTACCACATCTACCCATTCGCCAAATTGCCATATCTGAGGAATAAAAAAAAGGAAGGAATAATGAATTTATAGCCAGGCTTGGTTTGAGCAAAGTAAGAATAGTTAGGTTGGAATAAAACATGCCACTTTTACTGAACTGCATTTCTTTCATTCTGTAACACACATGTCCTGTAGCAAAATGCATGCCTTACCTGGAAGTGGAAAATACCCGCATAGTCCTCCTGGAAACTCTGTCCGTGGGGTACAACCCGATGTAAGAGTTCCTCATTGAGAGTCAGGGAACCAATGGCAGCCAATAACCAACAGTCACCTTAAGAGTAAGGAAACAGAAGTTACTTCTGTCTGAAATGTCTGGTCACTATTTCGCTTCTCTAGATTTTAAAACTCAGTATCTTCACCTTTGCAATTATAGATACTACTTAGAATATAATATTTTTCTTACTTATGATATATATAGATCATTAAACATGAGTAGATTTGTTACTGAAAACTTTAATCATCAATTTTAGTAAAATCTGTAAAAACAAACTGGAAAGACAGCTCCTATAGTCTGCTGTGATTATAAATGTGAGCTATAACCTCTTGGTTAGAAATGTGAGCATAATAAGATAAGAAAAACTAGAGGAGGACGTTGGGTGGATAATCCAATATACTGCTTTGGATCTTGTGGTATGGCCATTTGGTATATGGTGTTAAATCAGCTTTCTCTAACCCACTGCTTTCCAGATGTACTCCAGTAATAAAGTTATAGTTGATTATTCAGCATTAATTGGGTAGAAAAAGAAAGTACTGTAGGAACAAACAGTGAAAATACAGTAAGCATTATTAAAACTTGGTGAAACTCAACAAGTGGAATGCAAGAACTGATGGATGAAGCAGGGAGAATTCCTGGATGCTGCCATCCTGGAACAGATTGCATCATTTTTAGGAAAGGGTCATAAGGGAAAAATTCAACTACCTGGATAATTAATTGGAAGCCATGACTATAAGGTTTTCCAAATTCCTCACTTCCTTGCTGTTTCATTTTCCAAAAGGTTAAAGAACAAAATAAAGGAACTGGCTAAATCTGATTCCATAAGGAATAAGTGACTGAAGAGATGAAAACTTTGGGAAGAGAAAGAGAAATTGAAACATATGCAAAGTAGATTTCAAGGGAGCCAAATCCAACAGGTGTAAACGTAGCAGATGAGATCTTATGGATAGAAATATTCAGGTTGAATGGAGCAAAGAAGAATTGGAAATATCTCAAAACTAAGACACTAGAACTACAATAATACCCTGTTCCAAAAAATGGGGGAAACAGAAAATCATAGGTACCCTTTGGCTCAGCTAAGAATTAAAAGGAACATGTATTGGACATGAAAAATGAAACCTTTTGCTGATTGTGATGGAGTAATGAAACTTTACAGATTTATAGAAAATGGAGTAGGATATGGAATGAAAAGATGATTTATTATATTTTAAGAGATGTGATAATTTATTAAAGTTATCTATAGTATATTTGCTTGGAGAAAGGGGGAGGTTACCTTTCTTCTTTTCTTTTTTCTTCTTTTTCTGCACTTATTTTTTAAATCTCTTGTATTTTGAATTTTTATCTGTATAATGTAAAGTTTAATATAAATATTTTGAAAAAGGATCTGAAAGATGGATGCAGTTTCCAAGAAGACATACTAGCAAGTAGCTGGTATGTGCAGAAAGTAACCCAGAAAGGATAAAACACAGAGAGAATTCAGACTTGCAAAAAGATAAAAGAGGTAAAAAGGATTTTTGTTGCTGTGTTAGTGATAAAAATAAAGGAAGAGAAGGGCCCACGGCTTGGATAAGATAAGATAGGTGATGCTCTTCAACTCTTATTGTGCTTGAACTGTTGCCCCAAAGGGAATTATATTAAAATAGATCTCAGCAAAATAACTGACATAAGAGGGGGTAAGGATGAGGCAAGCTAAGATAAATTAAGATATGTTTCTTAGTATATGTTTGATGCAAATGGATAACTTACCACCAAAGTACAGCAATGCTATGTATTATTGAAATAAAAGAATTTTGTTTTATGCCTAATAGACTTTTTGCATAAAATGGAAAAATGCACTTATGATTTGTGGTTTTGATGATTAGAAAAAAAACTGGATAACAGAAAAGAGTGAGCTTTCTTTTGTAATCATAGAGTGAAACAATTCTTTTAACTGTACTTATAATTGCTACAAAGAAAATGGGAAGCTTCTTTTATTTTTTTCTTAATACTTCTGCACTTTTTTCTTTCAACCATCAACAGGACGGGAACAAGAAACCAACAGACTAGAACTTGGCAGTGCAAACCATAAAGGCCTTGGAAAATATATTCAGATAGTTATGTTTCTACACCTGCAAAGATCAGAATAGCTATGGTATTCCCTGTGACATTTTATGGAAGTGAAAATGAAACAGGGACTTTGAAAAGCAGAACAGGAAGAGCATTGATGCTTTTGAAATTTGGTTTTGGAGAAGACTCCTGAGAATACCTGGACAGTCAAGAAAACAAACAAATGGATTCATGGAGATTCTCAGTCATCCAGGTCATGGTTGTCCCAAAGGTGCTTTTTTCTAAGAGTCAACTGGACTCCAAGAAGCTTCTTGGATGAGAAGTGAAACGTCTTCAAAGAAAAACCAAAAAGTCCAGCTGCCTCTTGGAAAAAAGCTCCTTTGGGAAAAACAAATGGATCATCAAACAATCAGTCCACTTGAGATACAAATGGCCAGGTTCAAATTGCTTTACTTCACACACATTATGTGAAGATCTAACTCTCTGGAGAAGGCTCTAATGCTGGGAAAGGAAAGAGAAGAATAATATAATTAGCAGAAAGGTAGAAGAACAGTTACAGTACAGTTGGGGCATTGATGAAAGGCCTGAAAGATTAGTGACCAAAGATTATTATGGAGAAAATCTAGCAATGCAATCACTAAGAGTCAACACTGACTTGATGGCACATAATCAGTTTTCTTTCTCTGATCTCTGTTGTTGTGGTATCCTAGTTTATGTACTGTAATTTGAGGAATTTTCTGTTTCTGTTTTGGCAACTTTATGAATGTGTCCATCTGTCAGCCTTCAAGATCTCTTCTACATTTTTCTTCTACATCTTTTCTACTGCTACGCATCTCTCTCACTATTCTCCATCTTTCGGCTGTCATTAGTAAGGGGGGGGGAGGGGGGGAGGGGGAATTGGAGGGGAAGAAAGCTGGAGGTGTTACATTCCTATGCTGTAAATGGGAAGGAGGAGGGGAAGTATAAATTCCTGTTCTTAAGTTTCTATTTCCTTGCCTAGCTTTTTCTTTCCTTTCCGCAGCTGCGAAATTTTATCAAAATATGTCAAGGTCAACGGACAGAGGCCTCATCACCACCTGAAGATGCCCACATGATCATATTCAGAACTTTTAATTGGAAGCGTCTTTTGGACTTTGGGGGTGGGAACAATTCCATCCTTTTGTATATGTGATCTGCGCGCCAAATTCTTTAGATTCAGAATTCAACCTGTAGCTTCCACTTTGATTTTCAGTAAAAGAAAAAACTTTGCTCTAACCTATGGAGTCTGAGTATTTCTTTCTTGGATTTTGAATGGAGCACAGACTGACACCATCTAGATTTCTTGGTAATAGTATGTAAGTGCTTTGCTATTGCCTTCTTCCTGTTTGTTTTTTCAGTCCAGTAACACAATGCAGGAAAACAGTGCTAAGGCAATATTTCACTTGGCTGATATTTAAACATACAGGACGTTCTAAAACTAGAGTTCTTTTCTTTTAAATGGGCTTTTGTATGGTGATGCTTAATGAACATTTTAAAACCACAATTTCTGTTCAATTAATTTTTATCTCGCCTGAAAGAAGCACATTCACTTAGTGAAGATTTTGCAGACCTGTCCTGCTGGGCCAGGAGCTTTATCTCACAATAAACTGCAAGTAAATTGCCATTAAGGTGGGAAGAGCCTTTTTAGGATGTCTGAGAGAAATGAGAAGAGGAGTACGTGCTGGTTCCTTCTAGGCTGCAGATCAGACTACGATGTTACTGGTTGCTTGAAGGACATACCTCCTTTCTCTGTTTCTATCATAAAATGGCATGCTGAGGAGATGAAATGTTACAGCTACTGATTAGCAAATGGAAATATAAAAGCTATCAGAAGCTGCTACTTGGCCAGGAATTCCATTCCATTAAGAACTTAAGAGGAGCTATATCTCCATTCACAATTGTCAGGTTGATAGGCTGCAGTGAGTAGCAGTTGTTTTAATCAGCTCTTCTTCATTGTTCACTAATGCAAAAGTTATCTTACAGGAGCGGTTTTTCTCTATCCACATTTATAAATTACCACCGTTGTTTTAATTACTTCTTGTCATAATTTAGTGATGTAGAAGTCATCTGTTGTTCGATGGCACAAATGTTTTAGAAAAGGCAGTTACTATGAAAGGGACTGAAGAAAAGAATGTCAGGGAATAAGTTCAAAATGTATATAAGAGATTTCAGACAGACAGACTCTATTTCAGGGATCCTGTAGATCCCCCACCTGTCAACTGAACAGGACCAAAACTTTTCCATGTTGGAAGAACAATAAGAAAAAAACCACACTGAGCTAAATAATTGTAATCAAGTCAATATTGACTCTTAGTGACCACATAGTTATTCTCCAGGAAAAGTAAATAAGGAGAATATAAATTGCAATTGGGGGAGGGGGGTACAATTAAAATGAATTAAAGCTGATGTGTATCCCGCCCCTCTAAACTCACAATAACCCTGTGAGAAAGTGGCAACCTGAATGACAATAAATGTCATGGCCAAGTCAGAATTTGAAGCTTGACTTTTCCAGAGAACTGCTGCAACACCCTTAATCACCACACCATATAAACACTCAATTTTCCTATATGAAAAGGAAGGTATAAATATATCCCAACACAGCACAGTGCTATTCAGCTCATTCCACTCCCCACATTGCAATTTATATATTAAATATTACTGCAACTACACATTAAAGTAGCTAGTGGCGCCAAGAGGAAAAAGCACATGTAGGCTGTGTGTCTGAGAGGGAGAATCACCTGGGAACTCCTCATTTTTTGAAAAATTTCCCATATTGTATATGGATCTATACTCTGAAAAGTTATTCAGAAGGTTCAATCCCTGAAGCTTTTTTTCAGAGTGGCAATAATGGGGAGAACACATTTCCTTTCCCAGCTATCAAAGGAACAAAGACCTTGTCTTTTCTAGCAGAGAAAAAAAGGGTGGTATCACTGATTGAGAAGAAGGTAAACATAGCCCTGTATTGTGCCATGGTTGCCACAGTAACGCCAATGCCACGGGTCACCTTGTTGACTTACTTCCTTGACATTCTTGGGGAAAAAATATATCTGTTGAGGTAAAGGCCCTTCCAATTAGGTGACAGAACTGTAACCAGCCTATTCTGGTAGAACAGTTAGGTAATGGCTACCCTCAGGGCCATGCATTTGTTAACCCTACACCAGGGATCCCCAACCTTTTCGACGCCGCGGCCCGGTTCCGGCGTCAGCTGGGCGCCGCGGCCCGGTTCCGGCGTCAGCTGGGCGCCGCCATCTTTTTTTGACGAAAATGGCTTTCTACCCGGAAAAGCTCACCCGAAGCGCTGGCGCCGCCATCTTTTTTGACGAAAAATTGCTTTTTTTACCAAAAAAAGATGGCGGCGCCCAGCAACCAGCGGCCCGGTAAGGCTTGTTCCGCGGCCCGGTACCGGTCCGCGGACCGGCGGTTGGGGACCCCTGCCCTACACAGTAAAAAGGATGGGTGTAGGCAACAGCTCTAGGAGGTTGGGCTGGAAACATATATTAAGTGTTTGCTAATTCCCAAATTTCTATCTTTTACTCTATTATAATATATTGGTTCTTGTCACGCATATAAATATATATTTAATCATGCACAATCTCCTTCATTTTGATCCTTCTCTCCTTGCAATTATTTGCATAGAATATTATTTATTTTATTATTTATTTATCTACATAATATTGGTAACTTGCTCTGTCTCCAAACTGATGGGAGTCTGGGTGAGGCAAACCAGTATCAAAAATATGCATTAAAAACATATGTAAGTGACAAAAATTAAGATTTAGCGCATCAAATATGTCATTTGTTGGTTAATTTTTATTGGCTAGTTTCTGTGTCGAAAGGATCAAAATCCATCTTGGGAAGCAAGTATTCTATTTCCTAACTTCTAAAGCGATCCTTTCTCTATCATCCAGAATTATTTCAGGGCATGCTAGCAAGAAGAGAAGGCAGATTCCTTGGATCCAACAAGAACTTGCTGGGTTTAGATCCTTCAGCATCAGTTTTGTGAGCAATACATTTCAATTGCAGCTTAAGTTATCATGAAAGAGAGACTGAAATTTTTTCCTAACCCCCGGATGTAGTTACTCTATACTTGAATATGGAAAAACTTATTATTCTTAACTATTGCTTAGGGAAAGATAACACCAAGCTGCGGTTTATAATTCTATATCATTTTTCTAATTGTTTTTCCTACTTTTAGACATACCAGGAACCTAAATTATTTACAAGTAGCAGGAGAAGAATGGGAACCTGCAAACTCCAGGCTCATATATATCATTATGAACATTGCTTACCATAATGTCTGGAACAGATCTGATATTCTTTCTATAGTCAGCTATTCTTTTCTTAGCAAAGTATCCCTTTAAGCTGTCTTGTTTCGGAAGAGGGGAAAAGTTAACATTTTCTATCACACCTTATAAGGCAGCTTGTACAAGGGAGTGAGCTCACCAAGTGAATGAACAAGGAGAGCTAGTTTGCCTTAAAGAGTGTAAGAGGAATCTCTGTTTGTTCTTCTAAATCAACAGTTTTTACTTGTCTAATCTAAAAGCCTGAGAGATGGGAAGGAAAAGGCCTTTTCCTCTAAGGAAAAAATGAAGATGGATTTACAGGAGCCTGCAATGTTTGCAATAAATTTGTCCTTCTGCCTGAAACTAATCTTGGATATTTTTGCAACAAATGCAAAAACTGGAGCAGAGAATGGGTACAGTTCAGTTGATGAGAAAAGACAAGGAAAATCTATTAAAAAATCTATGATTGGCACACAGTTTGTCTTCGTTTGCCATGGGGTTTCTATCTTGCTATGCTCCCGGAAAGGGCATTTTGAACCTATGAGATACTTCAGAAATACATTTTTGGAAATCACATGTCACAACTCCTTCCCATCCTCTTCAATTTATCAAAAAATGACTATACTGATTCCCATTCATCCAACATGATTGGTGTGTCAAGAAATATTGACAAATGCACACAAAAAATGCTCTGGCAGATGGCATTTTTACTGTGAGGCGCTTCCAATCCCTGCTTATAATTTAATGCTGACCTAAACTGAACATTTGTTTTGGAAAAAAATATTTACAATATCGAATTTCTTTTTTCATAGACACAGAACTTTCAGATCTAATGAATCTACAAAGAGTTTAAGCAGCAAAGTGATATTGATCTACCTTGAAAAATAATATAATGTACAGAGACTCCTCATGGCACTCTCACTGTCAGAAATGAGTATTCTGATATCTCCAGTTTAATACAACTAATCCTCTTAATTTTGAACTTTACAGCTCTAAGGGCTGCTGTATTTTTAAATAAAGTATATTTGATTCAGAAGTCAGAGAAGGGTTAAGCTTCTTAATTTTTCTGCCTGGTTTGCTCTGCAGCCTACACAACGTATATCCTTTTTTTTTTTTTTTTTTGCATAATTCCAGTCCTAATTTGTAAGGTGAAATTGGTTATTTGAAATACTAAGCTTTAAAAGCTTCCTTGGCATCTTTTGGGTTTTTAAATAGTGCAAAGTATAGAATATGCATTGCATTAAAAATGTATCGCTCTGCTTGCTAATATAATAAAGAACAGGTCTTTATTGTCCAAATCAATGCTTTCGAGATGCTTGAGAGTTTTGAATGGTTCTCCTACAGCTATAACATACATGCAAAGACTATTACTTTTATCTGAATAAATATTCTGTGACTAACCCATTTTATATCAATGTCAGATTTCTGTTATCTTTACCATTTTTTTACAGAAATTATGTTGAAAACAGAAAGAACACTGTGAAGGACCCTCCCTTTCTTAAGATGTATGAGAAGACCCTCCCCTTTCTACAGAAATAATTGGGATCAATATGATCAAAATACACATCCTTCTCCATGTTTATATCCTATGTAAATGGAGGACATTGTATTTGCTCCCAATTTTCTCAAATGATTGCTCCCTTTCTCCTTCTCCATATTACTGAAGATTCAGTACACAAGAGAAAAGGCTCTTAATTATTCCATGGAAAGATGGAAGTCACACTGTGTCTGTGAACAACCAAAAAGCCCTACCACTAAATCCATCAAATGGACTAAATCCATCAAAGATTTAGCAGCAATGAAAACAGGAAAGTTCAATTTACTGGTCTAAATTTATTTTTAAAAAGCCAAAACCTAATGACCACACAAGGTTTTAATGTGATGATAATTAATGAAACTAGTAAATCACCCCAGCATCTCTAATGCTTATGTAGCCTCTTTTTAATGTAATTAACTATACAATACTCACCCAAAGCCCCCTGGCAGATATCTGTCCTTGTTGCTCCTCCAACAATAAACTGTGGGTCATCTACAATTTCCTGTCAAAATATATGTTATGAAGGAGGTTTCCTCATTTTTTTTTTCATACAAATACAAGGGAAAACATGAAGTACAATATGCATGCAATGTGGCTAAAGAAAAATTAGGTAAATGGATTTCTGAGCAAGGCTAAAGTTACACTCTATCCATTCTTCTCTAGGTTCTTTTATTGTGTTTGCTAGCCAATAATAAGTCCAATCTTCTAAGATCCACTAATTCTTTTGTACGTTTACGTTGCATGTTCTCCTTTTCTTCTATTATGATTCAGCATAATGCTTTATTTAATCAAATAGGTCTATTGTCTTTTATAACCAGTAGAACTCACGCCCACTGAGATTATGTAACCGCCTCCCTTACATGGCATTGTGGGACTTTGTGAGCTTTTTCTAAAGCTCTATAAACACTCGCTGCTTTACAGGGAGTGGTGGTGATTCTATATAAATTGATGGTTCTGTGGTCCCATAGTTGATGGACATCATCCACAGTAGATAGACACTATTAGGAGTTGCGCTGAAGTTTCTCTAAGGAGATCACTTCAAACATAACCATGTTTTCAGGTAGGTTCTCTCTTTCCCAGTTTTCTTCCCAATTTGTTTATATCAATCAGGTTATCTGGAGAGGCCTATTTTTTAGGACTCTTTATTATAACTTTATTTTTGCAACCAAACTGTTTTATAGCATGAATCCTGACTGTATTTCTCCATTCTGTATTCGTAACCAAAAACTAGAAGCCTGAAAAAACTGATGTCAGTGATAATGAGCCCAACAGATTCCCCATATATTGAAACTGATGCAATTTCATGTTTAAATATTTACAGTATTTGATTGCCGTGCAACATGCAATTTTCTATGCATATTTAAATAAAAATGAATGTGTTATGAGTTGTGTGAATGAATCTTTGCCCCACATATTTACCCTAAACTGTATTATAAGATCATTTTCATATCTTGTAATTCTTTAAGAGAATAAAAT